ACGAAAAATACCCAAATCCATTTTTTAAATATTAAATGAACACGAAACTTGATCTGTACCAGGCGTTCTCCACGTCTGTTCTATTGATATGTTTTGATTGTGTTACGTATTTATGTGCTGCAATAAGCATTCTTTTTTTTGTTGTTGTTTTACAGAATAGAAATGTTGCACCGCGGAACACAAACAAGCGTTATATGGTCTTATATTAAACCTCTACCTCCCGATAAAGGCCACCTCTCTACAACGGCCATTTTCGTCTGCCCCCAAGTTGGCTGTTGTGGAGAGGCGCGACTGTAATTTAGTTTAATTTATTTCTGTTCTGTTCTTATTTAACTCCCTAGCCCTCCAAACTGCAAAATATCAACCACTTTGAGTTTGCTGGTGTTATATTTACAAATCGATTTTCTTCAGAATGTACAAAAGCTAAGGTAAACTTTAAAGTTCTAACTTTTAATTGGTGCAGAGAACAATGCTGAAATTTAGCCGTGAAGCAGATGACGGGGGCATGGGGAAAACTAAGCAAAACAATGTTGTTTATGTAGAGTTTATTAGGGAGAGGGTCCCCCTTCTCGATTTTTTTTGAGAGGTGGGGGCGGAGGTACACAGGCTAAAAGTTCGGGGAGAATCATTTATTTATCATCGAGTTTCATCCACGGGGGCTTAAAAACTGTACAAAAAGTGAATAATATTTGAAGAAATGACCCATTGTGTATACTTGGCCCATACGGATTCACGTGGACTCCTTGTAGACAAAGAAAATGCAAAACGTTCTCAGAGTAAAGCGTGCAAAGGGTGTTGTCGTGAAAATTTGTGACGTTTTTGTTAGCTGATTGGTCTAAACGTATTTTCCATATTCATATTGGCTATTGCTGATCTGAGGTGTTTGTTTGTCATTTTGAGATGCTTGTTGTCGAAGCAAGATGTGTACAGTTCCCTTCTACGCGAGAAGCTAATTCTTACTTTGAGGAAGAACTGGCGACCACGTTTGGGGAAGGACAGTCGGTTGACACGCATTTCTGTCAATGGTTAGTATCGATTTCTTTGCATTCTCACTTCTTAAGTAATATATCTATGAAAAAATACCGGCTTCAAGTCCTACCACGCGCGCTTGACAGGCTCCGTTTACGTTTCGTGTTGAGCTTAGAACAGCCTCATTAGTTTAGTTGAGGAATAAAACGTACTGAACAAGTTAGTTCAGGAACCATGCGAGACGCTTAAGTTCATAGCAGGCTGTTTCGATGAGAGTTTGGCTCTCTTCATGAAAATGGCGTTTCTTTGTCGAACTTTTCCTTGTACTCGCGTTAAATAATTCATTGTGAATTCTTTTGTTCCACGTTTACTCGTTTGTTTCCACACTTGGCTTTGTTCCTTACGCCATTTTTATCTATTCTATTTTCAGGGAGTAAACCTCTGACGACAGGAAACTCGGGAAAACACAAAAAGATCTAAAGGATTCAAGCAGGGATGATGAAGATAAAGTTAAGAATATCATTTTAGAGTNGACGTTTTTGTTAGCTGATTGGTCTAAACGTATTTTCCATATTCATATTGGCTATTGCTGATCTGAGGTGCTTGTTTGTCATTTTGAGATGCTTGTTGTCGAAGCAAGATGTGTACAGTTTCCTTCTACGCGACAAGCTAATTCTTACTTTGAAGAAGAACTGGCGACCACGTTTGGGAAAGGACAGTCGGTTGACACGCATTTCTGTCAATGGTTAGTATCAATTTCTTTGCATTCTCACTTCTTAAGTAATATATCTATGAAAAAATACCGGCGTCAAGTCCTACCACGCACGCTTGTCAGGCTCCGTTTACGTTTCGTGTTGAACTTAAAACAGCCTTATTAGTTTAGTTAAGGAACCATGCGAGACGCATAAGTTCATAGCAGGCTGTTTCGATGAGAGTTTGGCCCTCTTCATGAAAATGGCGTTTCTTTGTCGAACTTTTCCTTGTACTCGCGTTAAATAATTCCTTGTGAATTCTTTTGTTCCACGTTTACTCGTTTGTTTCCACACTTGGCTTTGTTCCTTGCGCCATTTTTATCTATTCTATTTTCAGGGAGTAAACCTCTGACGACAGGAAACTCGGTAAAACACAAAAAGATCTAAAGGATTCAAGCAGGGATGATGAAGATAAAGTTAAGAATATCATTTTAGAGTTTGGTTAAATTGAAATCTTTCCGATTAGAAATGGCAGTTTTGCATCTGAAGAAGGCATATTTGACTTCAAAATTTCATAGTCTAATATAAGTTTGGTTGTTAAAAGTTTAATTTCGGGCATCATTCGGGCAAGAACAAAAAAAAAATAAATTCGGTAATGAACGTTAATCATTTCTGCCATTTTTGCCAGAAGGGTTTCAACCGCTTTCGAGTTATCTTTTGGTACATGTTTTCAAATTGTGGGGAGTTTCAATTTCTTTGATCGAGCGATCATCAATTGATTAAATCAAATTTTATCGGTCGTCAATATGCATGCTTTACTACATGTATCTTCCCAAAGTCGAGTATATATATATTTTTTTCTCTCAAAATTCCAAATTGTTGTGGAATCAGACTCAACTCTTCCAAGTTTGAAAACATGTTACGAAGCGATGACATTTGTAGAGTATTTTAAGGTGGCGCTGCGTGTTGAAATCAAACCGTGATAGCAACTGGCCATTTGCAACTATTTGTTACTTTGATCATGTCAATCACATCAAATTCTGTGAGCACGAAATGAAGCCTGGGCAAACATTTCAACGTTTGACATTTTAGTTTGCCGTGTTGTCTAAAATGCAATAAACACCGAAGTTTTACCAAGGCCTAGTATTAGTTTATTACGTGGATTATCTGTTGGAGACCATTGCCCTTCTCCAAAACAAGATTAACTGGCTGGTCGTGGAAAATTGTTTCGGTTTGGACACCGATCGAACTCGGTTCAACTATCAAACGCTTGAGTAAAATTTATTTCTACTTCATAAATTAATCTTAGCATTGTCAAATATGAAATACGAAAGCCTTGTGATCGATTCTTCTATTTGCAGTCAAATTTACGAGAACATTTTTAAAATTTTATTTTCTTTCTCACAAAGGGCCATCGATCGAGCATCGACGAAAGAAACACACTGTAATTTATTTGCGATATATGAATTGCGTATGTTAAAATAACCAACTGAGATTGTGAAACATTAGAAAGAGGAATCGTCAACCATTTGTTAGTAAATTCGAATTTGTTCGCAACGTCATTCGAGTTGAATTCCTGAATATTTCATATTTTTTTGACATGATCACAACGTATTGATCGCTTCCTTCTGGTTTTATGCTCTATGGTGAAAAGCGCATGCAGAGCCACCTTGATAAATAATTCTTGAAGAGGATATTGGGTTTCTGGATTGATCTTCGTATCCTTAAAATACTAGATTTATTGACAGATATTTTTTTATACATTTCCTTAAGGAAAATGGTCGGTTGATATTTTTCGGAAGGGAACTCGAAGGTTTAACAATCAATCAGAAACCAAATATCCTCTTGTTCAACTTCCAGCGAGGCCGTAATAAATTATGTTTGGTATC